ATAGTGTGTGGATATATATACATATATGCAGTAAATCATATATGTGAGTACAAATATATTGTGAGTTCTATGACCTCCTTGTGAAGGACTTAAGAACCCTGACATACATGTCATAAAATATCTTTAATCAAAATATCTTCTGTAGTTTCTCACTTTCACATTGCTTTTTGTTATTTTCCTTAGGCAAACCAGTTAGAAACACATAAAAATACTGAATAGTTAAAACGCAAATTTAAATAATTGCCTCAATAAAAATCTCACTGGGCAGGAAATGAAAAAAGTTAATAATCGACTATCTATTGATTCTAAAACAATATAAAGTTTCTCTTGGATCACAGCCCTTCATATAAATATAAATTTTAGATTATCTATGAGTCTCTTATGAACTTTTAAAACCCTCTTCAGGTAACTGACATTTTTAACAATTTTACTGTCTTAGAAATAGATTCTCTTTACATAATGATAATCAAGCTCAATTTTTAAATTTCAAAATGGAATACACTGCCTTAAAGATGCCTATTAGACTTGAAGTAATAAGTATATTAAATGTACATTCATTTCATAGCATGTCTTAAAACTTAAAATCAAATCTACTTAAGTGAGAATTCTAAACTCTTTAAGTAATTCTCAAATACTTCTCAACGGTATTTCCAGAGTGGAGAACTTACATTTTTTTGCAGTGTGGGCATTTTGCCAGAGTGTTGAACCTCAGTTCCATCCACTGTAAAATAAATAGAGGGATTTGAGAAGAAAAACAACAAAAAACTAGCCAATCTGATCAAATGTTTATTTTAGTCTAAACGTCACCAAGGGTCACAGCAGAAGAAATCAATTGCTTTCTCACGGTTACATGAGTTTATACCTCCAACAGTCCTCTCATCCCGTCAAATACATTATATCATACTAAAGGTCATGTAAAGTATGAACCCATGCTTTCAGTCTGAAACAGTTCCCAGGACTTCTTCAGGGCTCTGACACCGTCTCGATTTGCTTCATAATGAAGAGAATGCAAGGCTATGCTTGTGTCACAGCTTTCCTCTGCACACTTGAACTTCCGGGTGTTTCATGCCCCTTTAACCCTTATTGTCCTTTAAGTCCTGAAGGCCAACCTTTTAAATAGTTAATATTTTGAATCATAACTCTGAAGTAACTATTTATTTTACTTGTGTGAGAAGCCACAAAGTACATAAACTAACCAAATGAGATATCAGCAGAACTAAGATCAGGAAACTGTGTCTTGTTCCCTCATTATTCGTTTAATGTAACAAAAACCTGTTGATCCTATGGGACAGTTTCCTCCTTCTACTTCTTCCCTGTAACTGTAGTAATAGAATGTGTCATATCTTCCCAGGAATATTGCTCAAGTATTTAAATGGCTTACAGATAGTATGTTAATGTCTTTGAAAGATAGTTCATATAAATTTGAGTTAAATCTTTACCTCATAAAGATATTTTTAAAACTGCTTTCTAAGGGGCTGTGATTGTTAGCTCAGAGTTACAGTTCAAGCTGAACATAAGTGAGACCCTGGATACCCCTACATAACCTGGCTTTCTAATCTTTCATCTTGTTTTAAGTAAGATTAACAATATATGTCTTTCATAGTTTTAGGGGAATTTAAACATGTCATTAATTTTAGTCTCAAAAAACTTCCCTTTGTCAAAGATTAATTTTTGTTTAGGATTCTAGGTGGTCAATTACTAGTTGTGGTAAGGTTTCAATAACTTGCTCATATTCAAATGTTTTTCAAACAATAAAAAATAATTTTTAGAAAATATCTGCTACACAGGTTTTTCTTTTTATTCTTTTCTTTTCAAAAATATTTTCTTTTTTTATTTTATGTGTATGACTGTATTGTCTGTGTGTATGTAAGTGCACCCATGCCATGCAACACCCACAGAGGTCAGAAGAGGATGTCGGATTCCCCTGGAACTGGAGTCACAAATAGTTGTTAGCTGACATTTGGGTGCTGGGAACCAAACCCAGGTCCTCTGCAAGAACAGTCAGTGCTCATAGCCACTGAACCATCTCTCCAGTCCTTTTAATTTTTCTTTCATAGCTAGACTTAAAAGATCAAAGAAATTTGGACTTTATTTCTTTTCTTCATTTTAATTTAGACTTCATGAAACTGAGCTAACCTTGAGATGCTATTTTTAACACAGCAAAGCACATAGTCTCAAGGTAAATAAACTTGGAATGAAACTTTATGTGAATGTTCTGTCTTTTCAGAGAAATGGTTTCTCAGCATCTGAGACTGTCAAGCTAAGGCCACGTTGCTCTCAAGTAACACTTCCTTTCACTACTTACGCATTATAACAAGTCACTGAGTTACTCTTCTTAGTAAAAATTCTAGAATGAATGTGCCAAATAGAGATTTATGCAGATTTTCTACAGAGCTTGGAACCAAACATGAAAAGGGTTAAGTGCTTTTTTACGTCTTCATAGCAAGGTTGAAGAGTTGCTGAACTTGTGGGACCATTTCAGATGGTTTTTATAAACAACAAATTTCAGTTTTTCTTAGTTAAAACTAGAAAAATGGCTTGAGGAGATAATTACAAAACCATATAACACAAACTCTAAGACAAGGCTGAGTATGAATTTTTTTAAAAATATTTCATTTATTATTTTAATTTTATGCGTATGAGTGTATTGCCTGCATGTATGTAAGTGCACCCATGTCACACAATGCCCATGGAGGACAGAAGAGGCTGTCGGATCCCCTGGAACTGGAGTTACAGACAGTTGTTAGCTGCCATGTGGGTGCTGGGATTCGAATCTGAGTCTTTTGCAAGAACAGTCAGTGTTCTTAACCGCTGAGCCATCTCTCCAGCCCCCAAGTCTGAGTATGAATTTCAAGTGAACAGCCAAAAGGGATTATTTTATGGTGTATGTTTTAGCAAAGGTTAATCTTGGTGAATTCAGTTATAACAAACATCTCTAGCTTGATTGAGACAGAGGTAAATCACACTGCCAAGAACCCGACACAAGTGGTGGTGGTGTCGTCTTCTGAGTACTGTCCCTGGATGCAGCAAGCTCAGAAAGGAGGGATATTTATCACAGGAGCTGATTTTGTATTAATCTGTTTAAATGAATGAAAAGGACTTTTGCAAAGAAGTTGACTTTCTACTCTCTTCCTATCTAAAATGTTGTTTTTGTTCTCTTAAAATTTTATTGCTAAATCTTGAAGTCCTGACAGGGAAAATAAATAAAATAAGATCCTACTTCTGGCCTTTTTGCTCACTTCAGATAGATCCCTAGCTCTGGAAAATGACTACCTTCAAGAGACTCCAAAATCCAACAACTGCATGTATACCTCCTTCATGAAGTCTCGTCATTGCAATGACCTGATTCCTATGAGCTGTTAGTTGTGGTTGTTGCTTCCCTGTGGGTGAAGAAAGCTTTTGATTTGTTCTGGCAACTGATGGTGTACATGCTGCCCCTTCATGGGATGGTAAGAAGCAAATATTGTGAGCATGCTGTTCATTACTGATTTCATCTATATCTTGGACTGCTGCAGTGAGTCATCTTTGGTACAGAGCTATGAGCCAGAAGAACAGAAATTAGAAACCTGAAGGCAGGTGTACCTACAAGGCTCCCTTAAACCACGGTCTGCATCCTTCCTAATACCAACTTGTTTGATGCTGTTTCTTCATTAATTAAAAACAAAATCCACAAGCTGGCAGTAAAGGACCCAGAATCAGGCAACACCTTGTATATTCTTACAAGCACATCTTCAAGTTCCTCAAATTTTCTATATTGAATTCCCAAACCAAAATTCTTGTCTGTGTCTTTGGAAGTGCTACAGATTGGCATCTCTGCCAATATGGCTACAGGTCACACTACCAGCCTATGTGGCTCTGGGCATCTTTGTACCTCATCAAGTCTCAGCATTGCCAGTGGTTGATGAGAAAGGGTATGTGGTGGACATTATTCCAAGTTTGATGTAATTAATTTAGAAGCAGAAAAAAAAAGAAGCAGAAAGACCTACAACAACTGAGATGTTTGTATGACCAAAGCCCTACAACATCACATCATCAATCATACTACTTTGAAAGGTTTCTCAAGTGCTACCTGTATGAGACCATTTATTCCATCATTAACAAGCTCACAGAAGCAAGATTCAGAGTCTGGCAAGGGAACTGATCAAGGGAACTGTGTGTGCTGGTGCTCATGGTTAGAAAAAAGAACCCCTCATCATGGGGAGCCTGGGAAGACTCAGGCAGCACCAGGGCACATACAGCCTATGCTGCCAGCTGGAAGCTCTGAGAATCACAGGAATTTCTGAGAAAACTGAGTCAATTCCATCTCAGGAACCCCCATCCACTATCTGGAAGCTAAAGGAAACATGGTGGGGGCGGAGGAAAAAGGACTTCAAAGTGTCCTTACCCTCACACATACACTTGAGAAAGACTTTCAACCTAGCCAATCTTAGCCCCTATCTGCTTGGACATTGCCCCTATGGGATGAACCATGGGCTCTGTGCTCCTCAGGAGAGCTGAGCTCTAAAGATCCTTGGACCTCCCCCTGCCTTTGCCTCTGTCTCTGCTTTGACTCTATCCTAATACAATATTAGCACTACAAAGTCCTCATAAAGTTATGTTTATTCCTCCCCTTTTGTGTTGTTGAAGGAGTCTGAGTCCATTCAGTGGCATCACTTCCTATGATTCAAATAGGGAAGCTTGTGGGAAGGTGGGCCTTTGGGTTCCTGAGCTGGATGCAAAAAAAGGCAGGGCACAAAGGCAGGGAACAGTTAGAAAAGTTATTGCTTTTTTTTTTTTCCTGGTCTTTTTGAGACAGGGTCTCCCTGTAGCTCCAGCTGGCCAGGAACTTCCTATGTAGACCAGGCTTGTCTTGAACTCACATAGATCCACCTGCCTTTGCTTCCCGAGTGCTGGGATTAAAGGCGTGTGCTACCAAGCCCAACTCAAGCTATTACTTTTCATAGAAAATCTAATTAAATGACAAGGTTATCATCTTTTAAAAATCCCATTTCTGTCAAAAAAATAAAAATAAAAATGACTTCTCAGGGCTGGAGAGATGGCTTAGTGGTTAAGAGCACTGGCTGCTCTTGCAGAGGACCCAGTTTGGTTCTCAACACCCACATGGGGGCTAACAACTATCTGCAACTCTAGTTGTGAGGGATCCGATGCTCTCTTCTGACCTTCACAGGCTTTGTACAACATGGATACACTTACATGCAGGCAATATACTCATATACATAAAATAAAATAATACATATTAAAAAATAAAAATGACTTCTCTAAAATCCAACCATTTTTAGTAGATGTCTTCCAATATTTCCACTAGAGTATATTTTAATTAATATGAGGCAATAAGATACACTTGGAAACGTTTACATTAAACCTACTGTTCCCCTCTGATATGGCACTGGCCCCGATTCAAGTGAAGAAAACATGACTTAGCTGAAGGTACCAACTTGGCCCACTTCAGGGAAAGTCTGAACCATTATCTATAACTGAGCGCATTTTATGAGTTGTGCTGAGCTGATTTATGAGTTGTCTTAGAGGTTGCTGAATATACCTTTTATCAACAAGTTTATAGCACACCGAGAAACAGTGCTAACCTCTACTGTGCGCTGTACTGAAAATCTTCTCCACATTCCTAGTGGATTAGCTTACAGTTGCCATATTCACTTTATTCTTCTTTTTCCTAAAACACTCCTCAAAATAATCACCATAATCCCACTACAGGATTCTCTCAAAATAGTTTGAACAGGCAGCATACAAACTTACTCTTACAATGAATCTAACACTGATACACAATAATAGTACTAAAGAATACACTTATGAAAACTTCTGTTTAATTTCCTTATCCTAGTGTTTCACAATAATTATGGAACTGTTTATCAATATAATATGCAAGATTGTCCCATTAAATGAACATATCATTAAATATATTTTGCAAACACAAGTCTCACCTTTCTAAACTGTACCTGTGAGTCCAGCCAGGTCTTTAAATAGTGTGAATTGGTAAATTTCTAGCAAATGTAACTTGAGCACGTAACCCTAATTGTTAAAAGATGCTATTATAAATGGGAGGACTGTGTTCTCTATATAAACAGGAAGACTGTGTTCTCTATAAACAGGAGGACTTGTGTTGAGAACAAGCTCATGGTACTGCCTTTCTGTCTCAATCCATGAAGAGAATTCTCCCAGGTATTCTAGAAACATCTTTTTATTGTAATCTTTTTTTGTTTAAAACTTCATCAATATCTCCTAAGAGATCATGTTTTTCTCTTTTTACTGACCCTAGAAAACTCAGGACTACAATTCAGCCTAGTATCATATAGTTAAGACTAAATATTATGCATGCTTTTATTCTTAAGCATAATTTCATCTTCTTTTCTGACCCATTTTATTCTCTTGATTTTTTTTTCACCCAGGACAAAGAAAAGGTACAAAAGATATGACTATCCACAATTAACACAATGATAATAAGGCTGTAAGTCCGAATTAGAGCTTTGAAGCCACTGTTCTCTTCCTAACACTGAGATGTCCTTTATTTCCCCCCTGCAGTGTTGGGGGTTGAACTATAAAGCACGCAGCCTTAGGAACACAGAAAAAGTGGTCTAAAAACAATGGAATTAAAGTCTATAGCATGAGAAAGGAGCAAGGACTTCACTCAGAAGTTAGAATGCTGTGCAGATATATCCATCTCAAGAGATCAGAGGATCCTGCCCCAGAGAAACCTGGCTCTCTGCAGACTTACTGATATGAATAGCTGACAGCTTTTCAGAAAAAAGGACAAGGAGGAGAAGGAGGAAGGGGAGGAGGAGGAGGAGGAGAAGGAAGAAGTGGGGGGGGGAAAGAGTCTAGCCCTTTCTGCATGTATAGAAATTCCAATCTGGGACTTAAATGATCATTTGAGGAAAATTCTTATTATAAAAGAAACATAAAATGAAAAATGAGGACAAAGCAAAGGCACTGAGAAAACACCTCATAAGAAGCATAATTAATATTTTCTGAAAGATGCCATGAAGAAGAGATTATTGTTTAAAAAAAGAAAACTGGATTAAACCTTTCTGCATGTATAGAAATTCCAATCTGGGACTTAAATGATCATTTGAGGAAAATTCTTATTATAAAAGAAACATAAAATGAAAAATGAGGACAAAGCAAAGGCACTGAGAAAACACCTCATAAGAAGCATAATTAATATTTTCTGAAAGATGCCATGAAGAAGAGATTATTGTTTAAAAAAAGAAAACTGGATTAAAATGCAAAGACTCTTGGGTATTAAAACTTAAGTTAGATCATCTGAAATAAATAAAAGCCTCACTAAATACTCCCTCTGGAGCATAGCCTCATGAAATTTCAGACCAATGAAGAAATAAAATAAGTCAGAAACAAAGGATCAGGAGTAAAAACAGTAACTAATCTCATTAACAATGAGAAGAAAGCCTACAATTTTTTGAAAGGAACAACTGGAAACCTCAAATTTAATATCTAAAGAAATTATTATATGAATTTGAGATTACATCAAAAAACACCTAAGAAATAAATTTTACTCCATGTCCCTTCTCAGAAGGAATAAACCAAGACCCATGAAGGAAACATGAGATGCAACTCTGGAGAGTAAGAAGGACTTTTCAGGATGGTGGAGAAGTTCCCAGAATGATAGCTATGTAGCAAAGAGCTAAAATAGTAGATTGTCACATCTGACTAGATACAAAAAGCTCATAGAGCTACACAAGTTTGGGGAGAACTAATAATTTGCACATGAAAAACTAAACAGACCTAAAGCAGAGGAGTAAATATCTCCAAACAACAAAATGCTGAAAGTCATATGAGAATTCTCTACTCATAAAAAACACGTTAAGTGTTAAAGAATATGATACGTCAACTGGGAATAAGGAAACAGGGACAGGGGTATGAGAAGGAAGATGGTGTGACTATTAAATTTCAACTTGCATCTTATAAATTAGCATCTAATGTTCAAGCTTGATGTATTAAAAGGAAACGGAATAAACACAGTTTGGACATACAGGAGGAAACAGCTGAGTGACTGGAAGAGCTGAAAGCAGTGAACTGAATCATAGAGATGAAGAGGCTGCAGTCTGATCGGTTTAGGATTTGTGCATTTGAATTGTTTTAATATAAGTAAACAATAAAGGGAAAAGGACAAGCTATACTCTCTAAGCTCATTCTTTCCTTAATGGCAGCATTTATAGACTTCATGCCAAGACTCTAGAATATATCTACTATTAGGAGCCTAAAAAATCTCTTGACTGTTATAAATATTGGATAACAAAAGAAAATCCTTTCTTACTCTTCCTTATGGGGTAAGTTATTATAAAATTAACTTTTAAAAATCAGACTGTAATTTGAAGTTGAAAATGGCAAAGCTGAATTTATTTTGCACCCAATTGACTATTATCCATAAGTATCAGAATTTATATCCTCCAAGAATAATTTTTAAAAGTAAGAAGATTTTTCATATATACATTAAGAATTGTTCTTGAATCTAGAAGCCATGAAACAGGGCTGAAAATGTCCACCTTGCCACTGAACAGATGAGAGGAAGGCAAAGGGCTATCTGCTCACCAAGTCAAGGCATCCATGCAGCTAAATCTGGATGCATTATTTGTCTAATCCACTGGGATGCTGTATATTCTAGCTAAACTTTGAATTAATTATCTTTAGAGATAAGGCTCTATTTTAACCTTTTGATCAATTTACATTTGGATAAAACTCTATGAGGATAAGCAATCCTCAGATCTATGAGATCATGATCTAGATTTACAGATTAGGGTTCTGCGACAGAAGCACAGCTACTTACCAGGAATGTGTTTCCGCAGTGCCCACACACGACCCTTGTGCCTTCTGCTTGGATTGGCAATGCAGGTTGAGCCGGTTGCTCCTCAGAAATAAGCATTATGGGGCCAAGGTTAATTATACGTCTACTGTAGGGAAAAAAGCAAATGATTCCATTAACCAACGAGTGGCTGAGGGCAAAACTTGTTACATATAGCAAAAAGCATAAGCTACAGTAATGAAAACAAATTATACTTGATTTATACATTGAAGGAATCAAGTATCAAATGTTGGGCTCCAAATCAAAGAATATATCAATTGTCTTTCAAAAACAAAGAAAAAGAAGAAAGGAAATTATATTTTAAAAATATAAACCATATTAAATCATGAGTTCTAATCAGTGACTTTGGGAACCACTTAACTGCCACTTCCCAATTTTTATAAGTTCAAATTAGAAAAGGGTTCATTTTTTGTCTACAAATATACCTTGAATTTGATAGAAGACTGAGTAAGCAAAGCATTTTCCATATTAAATAAATATGCATATCATGCAGGTATCACATGCAAGTATCACATGCTGAGATGAAACCTTCCAAATTTCCATGAGAAGGTTGGTATTCCATGATGACTAGTCAGGGATGGAAAGAGGTAAAATGGGAGCTATCTTCCCTTCCATTCTCCAGTACATCATCAGATAATTCATGTAATGCCCATAAAGCCAGAGAAATCACAGAACAAAAAAAGCCAAGGGCCTTATATACCTGTATCTCAGCACATACACAATGGCATTGGGCATAGGCAAATATTTCAGATTTTATTACATAGGACCTGGGCCTGGTATAACTTACAATGAGATACACAAAGACAACTTCTTCTGGGTTAAAATGAACTACATCAAAGGTAAGCTAGCTAGTTATTTTTAAATGAATTCAATGAGCTGCTGATTCATGATAGTGTATTAAAGTATTCACATAGGGTAAAGAAAACACCCACTGTCTATTCACAAATATATCCTACAAAAATTATGGCAGCCAAGTTCTACTTACATCATTTTTTAAAACAACAACTATAAGAATCTAGGTGTGGTAATGACCATGAAAACAGAGAGTATTTAGAACAGATCCTGGTACAAAATGAGCTTTTAATAAATACTTATTGAATGAACAAATGAATGAATAAATGAATGAATGAATCTTTATCTCTTACCAGTTGGGTCTCGGACATCCTATTCGCCGAGATGTGTCCTTACAAATGAGGAGACAATTACAAGGGCATCTAACATATTTCTTCCCTGTTGGGGGGTTTTTGATTGGCTAGATAAGGGAAGAAAATGCAAACAGAGATGATTAACCAAAATACAGATTGTTGCAAATTGTTTGCATTTAAGGAAGAAATGATTACTTGAAAATTAAAGCTCTATATAGTGCTGTCAGTCTAAGAAAAAGCAATGCATGTGACTTCAAAAGTTTGAGGGACTGCAGAGATTTGATTATAAAGGCTTTGTTTCAAAATTAGTTTACACTGGCCTTTTATTATGGTTGGAATAGTTAGTGTACACCAAGAGTTATTTCTCCTTCAAGTGGATAAGATAAGGTCATGTATCCATCTAATTAGGTAGAAACACACGCAGAAAATTGTTTCACCTGGCCAGGAAGAGCAAGCTCAGGAGCAATAACAGTAAAGAAAAGGGACCTTTCCTTTATATTTATACATATATAAAAACACATTGCTATTTTTATTTTATGTGTATGAGTGTATTGTCTGCATGTATGTAAGTGCACCCATGTGCAAAGTTCACAGAGGTCAGAAGAGGGTATTGGATCCCCTGATGCAGATGGTTGTTAGCTGCCACGTGGTTGCTGGGAACTGTACTCAGGTTCTCTGCAAGAGCAACCAGTGCTCTTAACCACTGAGCCATCTCTCCAGCCCCAATCTTTTCTTGTCTTGTTTTGTTTTTTGTTCTGTTTTGTTTTGTTTTCTTGACAGGGTCTCCCTAGGCTCAGCCAGCTATGTAGATCAGGCTGGCCTGGATTTTAACAGAGATCTGCCTGCCTCTGCCTACTGAGAGCTGGGGTCAAAGACATGTGCCACCATGCCTGGCATCATCTGACCTTTTCTTAAATTTCTCAGTAGAACACAAGTGGTTAATTTTATGATATATGTAACTTAAACTTGCAATTGCTTTGAATGCTATCATTTACTGTTTAAAAATATGGTAAACCTAAAAGTGAAAGTAAATAACATCAAAGAAAACATGCTTTGTAATACTGGAACTTAAGCCTGCTAAACTAAAAATTACACTGAAAAGAACAGATATCTATGACACTCCTACCAAAACATATGACCTGAAGCCAAATCTGAAGAAACAGTAGACAAACTCGAATCGGGAGACATTCTATAAAATACCTTGCCTATACTCTTCAAAACATAAAAGACAATAAAAAGAGCAAACCAGATAAAAGGGCGTAAAAGAGACATGGCAACCAGGTGCAACACATGGCTCTGGTTTGACTCCAAAGTAGACTTTTTTCTTTCTAAAAGACACTAATGAAACCATTGGAGGCACATGAATTGGGTCCTAAGACTAAATAACTGTATAGTATCAACATTCATTCTCTATATTTCACAAATTCGTACTAGCAAAGTTTTGTTTTAGAAAGAGAAGTTCATATGGTGAAAATTTTAACACTTGTGGAATGATGGTGACAGGCATTTGGGAATTCTTCATATTTATCTTCAGACCGTCCCTGAATTATAATTGTTTGACATGCAAGTTTTCAGATTTTTGATGGTGTGGAGTAAGAAGTCTGTATTCAATAAAAATCATATTTAGAGTGTTGAATTTTTATCTCTTTCCATGCTAATAATACATAGTGTTAGGTTCTTGGGAGAAGTTGGGCATTAACAGTAAGCACAGCTCTTATTTGGTCATTTGGTCAGCAGGTAAAACACCCCAAACTGCACAGTGACTGTACCATGTTGCCAGCATAGGATGCTCAAGGCTATATGCACCAAATGCATTTTCAACTTCTTATGGGTTTATTGTTATGTAACTCCATGGAAGAGCTTCCAGACACACCATTATTTTTGGAACCCTTTTTCGTATGCAATACTTTTCAAAATCATGACTAAATACTTTAAGTAAACAACTCTGATAGAAATACATAAAAGGTAGCAGAAAGCAATTTGTGATTTATTCAATTATGTTGCAGGTAACTAAATCTGAATGCTTAAAATTCACAACATCAGGGGTATATGCCTATAGTGTCTAAAATACAAACAACAACAACAACAACAACCAGAATTTGGGTTAATTGTTATTCAAAATTTGCCATTACATGTGTGTTTAACAAAGGACAGAATCTTATTTTACATATATTTTATTATTTTCTTACTTGTAGATCTCAGTTTCCTCTGTTATAACACAAAGCAAGTGACCTGTAAGACTTCAAGAGCTGGTCCTGTGCCACCCTGTGCCATATCTTGTCTGCTCTGGCAAAATACTCTTCCTTGTGCCAGGCAATACGCTGAGTGTTTTACTCCTGTGCCTGAACAACAATCCTATGAAGTTGCTATTATGATAGCACTATAATTAAGATGAGGAAATCACAATTTAAAGACATGAAGTCATTCAAGATACACAGCTACTAAATAGACAATTGGGACTCAAACCCTGTTCTCTCAGCCTCTGACTCTCGAGGTCATAATTAGTTGCAGGTCATCCATCTCATACCAACATTTGTCCAGAATGCCTTAGAATTTCAATCAACTTGTCTTAGAAATTATTTCTCCTGGGGACTGGAGAGATGGCTCAGCAGTTAAGAATACTGGTTGTTCTTGCAGAAGATCCTGGTTTGAATCCCAGCACCCACATGGCAGCTAACAACTGTTCATAACTCCAGTCCCAGGGCATCCAACAGCCTCTTCTGACCTCTGCGGGCACTGCACAATGTGGGTGCACTTACCTACATGTAGGCAATAAACGCATACACATAAAATAAAAATAATAAATAAAGAATTTTTAAAAAGGAATTATTTCTCCTTTAACTTTAAATTCATTATGTAATTCAGTCTTTTGCACATGTGTGTGCATGTGAGTGAAAACACACACACACAAATCTCAATCTACTACAAAAAAAAAAAGGCTTTTATTCTTTGAGTTTGTTTTTTCCTTTTTGTGTTGTGTGGTGTTTTCTGAATCTCCAAAGGCATATCAGGTCCCTTTCAGAGTGGCTCCCACAGAGGACAGAGACTCTACAGAGGCCTTGTTTCAAGTGGCCTAAGACTGGAGCACAGTAAGAGACAGAGATAATGGGCCCCAGGGAATTGCTCTGTTGGACCTTAGCCCATTACGTTTGTTATCGTCACCCTTTTCAGCCCAGAATTTCTCCAAAGATACCCCCACTTGCCTCACAAATCTTCACTTATAAACTTAAGATCAAGTTACACATTAGACATTAGCAAGCCACATGTTAAGATACACCTCAAAAGTTTTCTTTTCACATTTTTTTCTCCTTCGTAATGTTAGAGATTTGAAACAAGACAATCTGATTGCATGCTGTTAAACTAGTCCAGAGTCTTCACAGTTGTTTATATTTCTTTGCTTCACAGGAGCAATAATCATGCAAAGAATTAGCATAATTTCCCTATGCCCAAATGTAGTTTTCAGAAAACTGCATTGCTACTGTACAAATGTCACTTCTAAGTAGTAAGATTGACCCAATTTTCTAAAACTCATGCAACATCAGGGTTTCAGCCTGGATGACCTAATCACTCTGTTTACTTCCAAGAGTGAACATAAAACTCCACAACTCTTTTTTGGTGTTTGTTTCATTAAAGAAGAAGAGTCAGAAAAAAGCTCAAAATTGATCTACCATAGGACGCAGTCACACCACTCTTGGACATAGACCCAAAAGACTCTATACCTACTACAGAAATACCTGTTCATCTATGTTCATTGCTGCCCTTTTCATAATAGCCAGAAATTGGAAGCAACCTAGATGACCATCGACTGATGAATGGATAATGAAGCTGTGGTCATATATCCAGTAGAATATTGTTCAGCTCTTTAAAAAAAAAAAGAAATTATGAAACTTGCAGGTAAATAGAACTGGAAACAATAATCCAGAGTGAAGTAAACCAGACCCAGAAAGACAAATGTCCCATGTTCTCTCTCATAGTTGAATGATAGCTTTGAAATTTTAGATATATGTGTTCCAATTTGAACATGTAGAGAAGTCAGGAAAATAATAAGTGGCCCTGGAGGAGGCAGGGAGGCTTCCTGGGAGGGGTGGTGGAGTGCAGTGATATGAAGAGAGATAGGGAAACATTAGAGTAAGAATGGTTAAATGGGTGGGCAATGGGAGGGCAGGGCAGAAGAGAGAGTAGGAGGAGGGATAAGTAACAGTAAAGGTCTTCAGAAAAAGCCATATGGAAACCTACCACTATAGGTAGGTTTAATGTATATTAAAGGACTTTAGAAAAAGGCCTATGTTCTCTACACATCACATTAGTCACATTGTATATAGTGGTCACCTACCACTATAGGTTTAATATATATATTAAATATTTTGTGTATATATATGTATATATACATATATATAGAATAAAAAACCATATATATATAGTTTGTCTGTTTTTGATTCTTGGGTTACCAACTCAGGACAT